GGCTCGGTGACGAGGGGCCACCCGGGCCGAGGGCTGGTGCAACTGGGAACACCAGTGCTGGGGAGCAAAGTCACCAATCTCCTGTTTCTCCCAGGAGTTTTACTGACAGGAGATCGCAGTGTCAAGTATCCAACTGGCAGCACCGACCGCATCCCGCGTTCCCAGACTCGGAAATCCCTTTTCTTTCTGGAAACACCGTTTTCTGAAAGTCTTATCAGCCCATTCCTGCTGGCCCCGACCCTCCCAGGGTCCTGTTCTCTCCCACCCACTCCTGTGACGGTGCCACAGGTAACTCATGGGACACCAGTTTTCCCCATTTCAGGTGCTTATTGCTTTTTTAAAAAATAATATTCCTGGGAGAGACCAGGCACATTGAAAATTTTGACTTTGGGGGGGATGAAACCTTCAGTCTGAATCCAGCATCGCGTGTGGCTGGGAGAGGGGCTTCATAAAAGGACAGGAAAAAATCCCTCCGATGCCCCAAATCCCTCCCCAGACCACTCAGAGCTGGGGGGAAATGAAGCTCTGAAATGTTCTTTCCATCCCACAGAAATTTCCATCATATTAAAAAATGTTCTTTTTTTTTTTTTTTTCCTTGTCTATGCTGGGATGAACTGAGACTTCCCAGAGCTTCCCTGGAGACGAGGGGACCTGTGTGAGAGAGACCCACAGTGGGGTCCCCACGGTGCCTGGAGTGGGGACCCCTCTGCAGGAGCTGCTGCTCACGCTGGGGGACACGGAGGTGTCTCCTCCTGGTTTGCTGGTGCCTCCTCCTTCTCGGGGCTCAGGGGGTGCCCTGCCAGGGCTGGAGCCCCCCAGCTGTGGGGACAGGCTGAGAGAGTTGGGGGGTTCAGCCTGGAGAAGAGAAGGCTCCAGGGAGACCTTAGAGCCCCTTCCAGTCCCTCAAGGAGCTCCAGGAGAGATGGGGAGGACTCTGGATGAGGGAGGGGAGCCCTAGGAGGAGGGGGAAGGGTTTGACACCAAAAGAGGGGAGATGGAGCTGAGATGTGGGGAAGAACTTGTTTGGTGTGAGGGTGGTGAGAGCCTGGCCCAGGTTGGCCAGAGAAGCTGTGGCTGCCCCATCCCTGGAGGGGTTCAAGGCCAGGTTGGAGGGGGCTTGGAGCAACCTGGTGTGGTGGGAGGTGTCCCTGCCCAGGGCAGGGGGTGGCACTGGGGGGGACTTTAAGGTCCCTTCCAAGCCAAACCATTCTATGGTTCATTTCCACTCCTTCAGCATAAAACTGCTCAGGCCGGACGCCCGCTGATAAAACACCTCTCCCCCTTCCTCCACCTCCACCGCTGCGCTGCGTCCCTCCAGGGGGCTGCCTGTCCCCGGGACACGTCCCCGCTACCCCCCAGGCCCGGCGGCGGCCGGCGGGGACGCATCTGCCACCTCAGGCCGCTCCGGGCGCCATCACGGGCTTCCCTCTGCCCCCCCACCCTCCCTCAGCGCTGCCGCGGGGCTGGGGCGCCCCCTGCCGGCCGCCGTAGGCGCCGCCGCGCCGCGCATGCGTGTGGGGCCGTGGGGGTGCAGTTGAGGCAAAGGGCGGGCGGGCGCTCCCTCAGGGGACGGTTGTCGTCCTCCCCCCTCATCCCTCAGGCATTGCTGAGGGGGGTCCCGGTCCGCCATGGAGCGGCCCCGCTGGCCGAGCGCTTCCCGCGGCGGGAAGGCACCGCGGAAGAGGCGGTGTCCGTCCCCGCTGCCCGGGGCGGCCCCTCTCCCGGTTAGGGCCGGCGCCTCCCAGCCCTGCCGGCGGCGCCTCTTCGGGAGTGTGGGCCTCTGGCGGCCGGAGCCCGCCAGTAAGCGCTCTCCCTCCATCCCTCCCTCCTTTTCTCCGTCCTTCCCTCCCTTCCTCCTCCTGCCCGCCTTCTCTCAGCCCCGCGGAGCCCGGCTGAAGGGCAGCGGGGGCCGGGCAGGACGAGCCGCACCGTCGGGGTGCGACTGGGCCTGGGGTGCAGGGGGGCGCGGTGAGGGTCTGAGGGGACAGTGTCCTGTGCTGTGCTTTGTCCGCTTCTCATGGGCTTTTTTGGCAGTTTGAGGAGCGGGTGAGGATGCCGGTAAGGTCAGGTCATCCTCCGAGGAAGGATCTTTTAAGCAGTGATCTGCTAAACGTTGTGTGGTTTCAGCTTTTCCCCGCAGGCCTGTAGCGTTGGTTTGGGTCCAGCCGAGCTGGCCCTGTGTGAGCCGGGGGGGCGGCCTCTTCTTACCCAGGTCCCTTACATGGAGAAGGCAGGTTGCTCATCGAGAAACAGGACAGTTTCCTCCGTTTTTAGTGATAAAAACGGTTTTTCCTTTGGTAAGGTACTGGTTTCCCCCACCATCTAATAATTTCCTTTAGAAATAGTGCAACAAAAGCCTTGCCTGCCTTTGAGAGGATACTTAAAAGAAGTACTTAAAGCTGTTCCTCAAAAGGAACAGCCTCGTTGTTGAATGTGACTTAGCAGACCTCGAGTTAGGAACCAGGAGACCTCGAGTTCGGAACTGGGAGACCTCAAAGGAAAAAACCTGGTCTGAGGGGAAGGTGTGGGATTCAAGTAAAGCTGAGAGTAATATGGGAACTTGCTAAAGCAAATGGGGAAGACCACTGTGGGATGTCCTGGTCCCACATTGATCTTGACAGTTTAAAGGTAAAACTTTAAAGTACTGTTACAGGGTCCAATTAACATTATTTTCTGTCTTGATCCTGGCCTACTGTCTCATACTCTTGTAGGTGCTTAGTGCTTTTGGGTACCTGACTGGGTGCAACTAACACCCTTGAGGTCTGTTTGCTTTTCATTCTTACATATATGTGGAAGAGAGAGGGAAAGGGATGAGTCCAGCTCATACATTGTCTTATCCTCAACTCCCAGGGACTTTCAGCCAGTGTGTCGTGCTGCAGGATGCAGTACTTCAGACCCATTTGTTAGTGTGGGGATGGATACACTTTTAACTTCCTGTCATAAAAGTGTAACACTAGAAAATCTGGCTGTTTCTAGCTCCTGGCTGCTGAAAATAGAACACAAAGCCAAACAACTTATAAAATTGGTTTTAGGATAAGAAAACATGTATCTGAAATTCGCTGGTTCCTAAGTAATTGCATCATTGTGGCCTCTGGGATTATATACAGTGAGGATTGGTTTATGCAGAAATGCACCTGATGCTGCTAATAAACTCCGTTTAAAACTGATTTAGACTCCAACTACTTTGTACCTTGGTATGGCAAAGGTCACTTCCAAGGTGGTTTTTTTCCTTTTAATCAACAGGTGTCTAAAACACCTGAAGTATTTCTTGAAGTCTGTTGGTGTGTCTTAGTTTTGTTGATATACTGATGGAAAAACTTGGAAAAAATAAATTCAGACTTTATAATATTTGTGATAATAGGGTCAAAAATTGTTACGGGCATGGGAGAGCGGGAACAGCTAAAGGTGCCCTATTTTAATATTAGAATTTAGATGATTATTTCAAACTAAAATTTCTGAACTAAATACTTACTCTTCTCTAGGTCTGAAGGGAAAGTCCAGTTTGAAAACCCTACCAAAAATTAAAGAAAATCTTGAAGTCACCAAAGTGAGCAGTTCATGCAACCAAAGGTCTGTTAGAACTCATTCAAATACACTGTTACTAGCACTAATTAATCATTTCCATTGTTTTGCCTGCATGAGAAGACTCGTGGGAGATAGGCAGTCTGAATTATCAGTTAACTGATGTTTGTCAGACTATTTGCTGGCACCTCGTCAAGACATTTTGTAGATTTTGTTGCCTTCCTCTAGAACAGTGTAGCTCTCTGTATTGAGCTTAGCTCTGTTCTTCACCTCCAGCAATCAAGTGAATGTCAAAGAGACAACAGACTTGGAAAAAAATGAAGAGAAAATAGAAGAAAGCGCTGTACCACTGAAGGTGAGAATGCCATCTTGCTCTTCTATCTGCTAATAACTAATGGAGGATAAGTCGAAGAAATGTGATGTGTTAAATTCTTTATCTTACTCTTTTTCTTAATTGCTCTCTGTAACTCCCTGAAAGGAGGGTGTAGAGAGGCAGGGGTTGGTCTCTTCTCCCAAGTCACAGGCGATGGGACAAGAGGAAATGGCCTCAAGTTGCACCAGGGGAGGTTCAGGCTGGAAATTTGGAAAATTTTTTACACGGAAAGGGTTATTAAGCCTTGGAATGGGCTGCCCAGGGAAGGGGTTGAGGCACTGTCCCTGGAGAGATTTAAAAGACAGGTTGCCATAGTGCTTAGAGACATGGTTTAGTGATGGCTTTTATCAGAGTTAGGCTGAAGGTTGGACTAGGTGATCTTAAAGGTCCCTTCCAACCCAGACAATTCAATGATTCTGTGATTCTAAGTGGAATTTGTTGTGAGAGATGAGTGTGTGCAGACAGTTTTTCAGGCTGAACTTAGTCCTGTATTGTGGTGACATTTTCCTCTGTCTTTGGCCAGAATAAAAGCAGTTGGAGCTATTGGTAGCATGGGAAAACATCAATACTAATTATCTTTAATGAGGAAAGGCTGTAGCAGTTGTGTTATGTGGAAGATACCTCATCAGAGTGTGATTCCAGAGAACTGCAAGTCACTGTTGTGCCCTTCCTCATCTTAGTAAAACAGGAACAAAGTATTTGGAGGTGACTGAGCAGAAGTGGACAGTTCATACTGCAGCAGCAAGAAAATAGTTCACTGGGTGTGTTTGAGCTAAAATCTGCTACAGCAAAGGGCTTAAGTGATGTTGGTGTAAAACTATTTTTCTTTAAAATGTTAGCTTTTATTTAGAGCTCACCAACTATTTATACTTCCTGCAAATGCTTAGTTTTGTAAAATATACTATGTACACAATGTAGTTGTTTGTATTTATAGAAATGATATAGGATTCTGAAAGTGAGTGGCCCTCTAAAAAAAAACCAAACAAAACCCAAAACCAACCAAACAAATAAAAGGTGGGGAAATTCATTACTCCACTGCTGTCTTATGCATAACTTCAGCTGATGTCAATATGCCTTCACTGGAAGTCTCATCCAGCAAAGATTGTAGGATCAAATTACTGGCTATTCATTGTGAATTTTAGAACTGTAAGTCAGATTGCAGATTTGTTAATGATGCATGAAAAATCCTGTTACAAATTACACTGTGAATAGCAAGTTTAAGTGGTGGAGCACCAGACAGTAAGTTTCTGAGCTCTTACTAATGTAGGACTGCATTTAATTGCATTTCTTTGCCCACCTCCAGTTTTCTCAGGTTGTTTGTCTTGGTCATTTAATTTTAGGAATCCCTGACAATCAACTTTGAAAGTAAAGAAAGTTTGAAAAATGATGAAGTGACTTCAAGTGAGTATAATGGCAATGCATCATATTATTAAATATATTTCTATAGCTGTATAAAACTAATATAATTAAAATCGTATCATGAATTTTACTATTTCTATATTTATTTCTGTAAAAGCACTGAGGTGCTGTTCTTGTAGTGGTTCTGGCTGTGTGATATTAGAAAGTAAAGGTTTTGAGACCACTGGCTGGGCTTCTGGTCTGGCCCTGTGAGACTTGAGAGAAGTCTTGAGCCCAGCCTGTTGAAAACTGCATGACCTTGGTTTTATTACTGACAGAACTAATTGTTGGCATGAGTTCTTCAGTTTACCCAAACCTGCATTTTTAAAAGCTTGTGCCAAAAATACTTTGTCCTTCTGAAAACAAACCTGCTGAAGAATTACCTTATTGGAGGCTAAATGCTTCAGGTGTTTCTAGTGAGCCTTGGGCAAGCAAGGTGTCTCCTCTTGGCTTATGGGGGTGTAAAGGGGGCTTCAGGGTGTCCTTCGTTTCTTTAACTGTATTGTGAGTCAGTGTAAGATATTGACTTGACAATATTTAGCTCGTCACAGGAATGAAAGGGGGTGTAAAGGGGGCTTCAGGGTGTCCTTTGTTTGTTTCTTTAACTGTATTGTGAGTCTGTACAAGATATTGACTTGACAATATTTAGCTTATCACAGGAATGAAGCTTAGATAAGGAAATCCTGAAGGTTTGCAGAAAATTATGTGGTTTTGGGGGTTTTATTGGTAGCTGCCTTTTTTTGTCTCCTTCTCTAGGTACAGGAATGACTCTTCCCACAGGTGTTTCAACCTTTCTCCTAGAGTGTTTAGATGTAGACTCAAGTGCAGATTATAACACAGGTGCTAGTGTCAGCCTGAACAGTTTCTCATCCCCCGAGACGTTCAGAGATGATGATTCAGGTGAGGTTTCTGGGGTTTTGAGCTTTATTTAATGAAGGAAATGCGGGGGGACTATCTACAATAGAAAGACGAGCGGTCTCTCTTGGTGTGACACGCCAGGTCAGATCTTTGCTCTAAGCAACTGGTGCTTACCATGGGATCTGTATATCTGGTCCTTCAATCCAGTGTGAATCTGGTCCTGGTGTAATCTGAATCATACTGTAATCTTAAAGTATTTGCTGTTGACACAAGCTGTTTATTGGGGATGACGAATAAATCCGCTTTGAGTCAAATTCCTCCCAAATTTCTCTGTGGCTGTTTGAGCCAAGGCAGTGCTTTCCCTGTGCTTTAAAGTTCCTGTCTTGCAAATGTGATTGCTTTCAGTTTGGTCACAATTCTAATAACTCAATGAACTTCAGCATAAGAAGCTTGTACTTACATCTTTTATATAGAAGAAAGAAGTAATTTTCACCCTGAGAACAAGAACTCAACTCTCCTGGACTCCAGCAAAGCAGTGGCCATAGATAAGATACCACAGATCTCAAATCTTTCAGCAATATTAGGTAATTCTTTTCTGCAATACTTAAGAATATATATATATGAAGAAATTTCACTCTAGTGCAAGGGACTTGTATGAAATATATAGTGGTCATTTCATTTGAGGCATGGCTGTGTAACAGGGACCAGCTCCCTGTTAGTGATCTGTGCCTGCTTCTAATGCTTTGCTTTATAATTTAGTGCACACTAAAAACATTGTGTAACAGGGACCAGCTCCCTGTTAGTGATCTGTGCCTGCTTCTAATGTTTTGCTTTATAATTTAGTGCATGCTAAAACACTGTCTGGTCTGTTTAGCTTTTTCTTTTAAAGTTTGGCTTTTATGTTTTTTAGAACCTGTAGTGGATGCTTTTCAAGATCAAAACATTAGAAGGTAATCTGCAAAGCAGAGTCTCTGATGCACCTAAACGTTCAGGTTTTTCTCTTTTGAATGGTATTTAAAAGAAAGGCCTGAAACCTCTGATCCTGCAAACACTTCTGTTGAGTTTCAGCCACCTGTGCCCTCACTAACTTTGAAATTGGTTCATGAAGTCAGGTAAGAGTTTGCCTTAAGGACTTTTGACTGTCTGGTCTGTTTAGCTTTTTCTTTTAAAGTTTGGCTTTTATGTTTTTTAGAACCTGTAGTGGATGCTTTTCAAGATCAAAACATTAGAAGGTAATCTGCAAAGCAGAGTCTCTGATGCACCTAAACGTTCAGGTTTTTCTCTTTTGAATGGTATTTAAAAGAAAGGCCTGAAACCTCTGATCCTGCAAACACTTCTGTTGAGTTTCAGCCACCTGTGCCCTCACTAACTTTGAAATTGGTTCATGAAGTCAGGTAAGAGTTTGCCTTAAGGACTTTTGTTTTGGTCTTGCAGCTGTAGGGAAATGAATTACAAACCTCAGTGAAGGATTTTATGGAAAGTGACATTTATTTACAAAATCCCTAAATGAGTTGCTTTTATCCAGTTGTGCTTATTCTGTCAGATTTCATTCAGTTGCAGGCAGTGAGATGTGTGTGCTTGGGTGGTCTCTGGTGTTCTGTGCTTGGCCAGGACAAAATTAGGTTTTGGGCAGATCTTTTATATTCTTTAGGAATCAGGAGCTCACACAAGGAACTCTTTTGCTTCAGACTCTTGCTGGTTTCACCTTTGTAGATCTTGGGCTGAGTTTCTGCCCACTGTCACATTTTTTTCTTATTTGGAATACATGTCTCCCAGGCAGCAGAATGGTGTCTGTGATAATGCTGCAACCCTGTTGCCACTCTGGCGTTGTTAGGATGCCAGCTTTTCTGTTGACAAGTTGTCTCTGGTGTGGTTTTATCACAATGAAAAGTCTTCTATACTTGGCCTTGTCACAGTGCTGCCTTTAGGTCTTGACACAAAAATCTGAGTAGCAGGAGAGTTTTTCTAGGAACAGTATCATTTCTTTTAACCATTGTGCTGCTGTTTCCAGTTCTACATGTGGCCATTTCCATTCATAACTCATTTATACTGATCTTACAGTGCTACAGATCTCTACACAATCTGAATTTTCTTGTGAACCCAATTTCCCCTGCATCCTCCCTAAATACATTTTGTCCTAGTATGCTTCAGTGCTGAGTACTTCAGGGAATGTCTTCTGTGGGTCTTGCAAGTATCTTCAGAATCAGCTGTGACCTGATGATAATCTGTCAAAGTAGTATAGAGTGTGATGAAATGACCCAGTAACAATATTTATAAAACCAAGCTTTTCCCTCAGTCTACGTTTTCCTATGATTTCCTTAATATATTGTTGGTTTTTTTGAATGATAACATTCATTCAGAATAGTTGTTTACTTCTTATTTTTCTCCTCTCCTAGAAAGAGACCATCAGATTGCAGTTCTTCAGCATTAAGTGGTTCAACTACTCTGGCAGGTAAAACGTGACCTGAAGCAGTTGTACGAGCTGTGAGACAACAGAATATTCTACCCAAACTTAAATGATGGCAAAATGTCAGAACCAGGCTTTCTCTGCATCACTTGTCCCTCTGGCACCGGCTAAGCCCAATTGTGTCTAGAAGGGAAAGTATGAATTGAAAATCTTCCCTATAAATAAGGCTTGGTTAGAATTAATGTGTTAGAAGAAGAATGGGGAAAAAAAACCCCGTATGAATTGAAAATCTTCCCTATAAATAAGACCTGGTTCGAATTAATGTGTTAGAAGAAGAATGGAAAAAAAACCAAACAAACCAACCAAAACCTAAACCTTGCATTTTTCCATTTAATCACCTGTGATGCCCAATGAAAATTAGCACATCTTATTTAACTTGTCCAGGAACAGAACTGTGTGTCATGCTCCTTACTTGAACTTCACAGATAGTATTAGGAGTCCCTCATGCAACTACAGTTATGAACTGTGATGCAATTCTGGCCATGGCCCAGGTACCACATCGTTTTCCCCTGCTTAATTTGAACTGCAGTAGTGACAGAAGTTGCCACTAGTGAAGATTGCTGCAGTGGTACAATTCCTCTGCTCCCACAGTACACGTGTCTGGCAGTAAATAGCCAGGTGAATATAACATTAATAAGCAACCTTGTTTTCCCAAGAAAAGGGAGAGGTGCAAAGCAGCCCCGTTTGTGGGGAGAGGGAGGTGAGGATTTTATTGAAGGGAGGAATCGTGTTTACATGGTGGCTTTGGAATGGTCCACCTTTGAAACCTGTCCTGTAAGACATGGGTTGGAGAGTAGCTGTGGTCTTTGTCTCGAAGTGAATTAATTTGTTGGAAATTTATCACAGGAAAAAAAGTCTGTAAAATTACAGCTGCAACAGAGGGAACTCCAGACCTAAAAACTGGTATGCGCTGTTCTTCACCGTTAGGACCGGAAAGAAAGGTGAAAGTTCCTTAATAAATCAGCCAGGTTGTAACATAGATGAATTTGCTCCTTCCTTGCAGAGGTGGGAGAGTCCACCTGGGAGTGTAGTAGTTCCCTTGACTGCAGAGGGTTTGAGATGTAGCTTGGCTCTCCCTCTGGATACCAGTAACAGTCATGGGTGCCCCCTCGTCTCACTGGTTTTCAGACTGACACTGCCAGTGGTACTGAATATGTTGTGTAGAGCCCAAGTATAACGGTGGGGCTCTTTGTTAGTGCTTACCAGACTATAGAGATTCACTTTATAACACAAAATGTAATTGTTTCGCCCTTTAGCCTGACAATCAAACTGCTGAAACCAAAAAGCTGAAGTGTAAGAGAAAAGGAAGAAAACCCAATACAGCAGGAGAAGGTTCATCGTCGTTCCGTCAGCTCGATGCCCCAGGAAATGCTTCGGCCAAAGCAGGGGGGTTGACAGAAGTACTGCCACCCCAACGGACAGGGGCTGTGATGGTAAGCATTCCCATTGTGCCCTGCTGATTAGCAAAGGCATGACATTGAAGTGAAAGTTTCGAATCATGATCAAAGTTACGGTTATATATGGGAAGTGATAGGAAGGGCTTTATCCCCTGGTTGTGAAGGGATCCTGAAATGTGTGTGTTCTGTGTTGCTGCAAACTGATTCTTTGTCTTTAATTTTGGAGAACGTAAGACCAATGACAGGAATTCAGTAATTAAACCTTAAGTACTCTTAGTAATTCTTAATGGGGTTGCTGTAAATAGTACTGTGTACTAGGGGAATACTGCAGGCCTAATAATAAACAGCAAAGAATTGGAAACTGATACTGAATTCTGTTTTTGTTTAGCAGAGGAGTTCAACTATGCTGATCATGGAGGAGAATAAAGCCGTAAAAAACCTTTGTTTTTATCAGCCTGTGAAGCCAGATGTGAGTGTCTGCCCTGGTACTTCTTTTTTTAATGATTAAAACCATCATTCTTCATGGCACTGGAAATGGGCATAAACTTGAATGTAAGAAGTTCCATCTAAACATGAGGAGGAACTTCTTCACTTTGAGGGTGGAAGAGGCTGCCCAGAGAGGTGTTGGAGTCTCCTTCTCTGGAGACATTCAAACCCTCCTGGACACGTTCCTGTGGGACCTGCTCTGGGTGGACCTGCTTTGGCAGGGGGTTGGACTAGATGATCCCCAGAGGTCCCTTCCAACCCCGTATCATCCTGTGAAGAAAAGAATATTTTTAAGGTTCTAATTTTATTGCACTCTTTAAATCCAGTTTTTGGCATGCTAATATGTAAAGTACTGTATATTTAAGCCTTACAGTATTATGGACAGCTGAAGAGGATATTTAAGCTTTGAAGCTTTCTATCACCCCTTCTGATAGCATTTAAGTGTACACAAGTAGTCTTAAATGTTTTCTAATGACGTTCCTCGAAATCTGTATGTCATTTCTAATTGCCCTGTGGGGAAAACTATTTCCACTGAAGAAATATTCTTCTGGCTGTGTGAATGAAGTGCCATTAATCTTTCCAGGCTGTGTGTGGCAGACCAAAACTCTGCTCCATCATTAGGACTTCTCCATGCCACAGGCTTCGCCCAATTCCAGTTAACACCCAGCCGTTCCGCCTTCCCGAAGGTCTGCCTGAAGGTAAGAGAATATCGAATGGGTGCCCTGTGCAGATGGTAACAGGCTATTTGAGTGTTTAAAGGTGTTGGGTTTTTTTTAAAGTCTGAGTATTTGGGAAAATCACAAGGCTAGAGAGTATGGGTGCCCTGTGCAGATGGTAACAGGCTACTTGAGTGTTTAAAGGTGTTGTTTTTTTTTAAAAGTCTGAGTATTAGTCTCTAGCCTTGTGATTTTTCCCAAAAAGAGGAAGAAGACTTCAAATTTCTGACTTAACAGCGTTCTTGTGTAACAGTACTCCACTAAGAGACCGTGCTAACGTTTTCCACTCCTTTAGCACAGGAATGAATAGAATCTAACATTTCACAGGTTAGGTCATTAAGGCCAGAAGGTGCTACTAGGGAACTCTGGGAATATCTCCACCTCTTCACGTTACTCCTAAGCTTGACTTTGACTTTGCTGCTGATATGGAGACTCCCTAGAAAACATCCCAGCTTGATTAGTAGATTATTTCCCTGTGCCTTCTTTCTAGGGTGACTGTATCAGACTGGAGCTTCCAGCCATTGGTGTGGTTTGTATCTTGCTCAGCTGCACCGAGCTCTTTAGCATCCGGTATCTTTTCCCCACTGAGAGCAGTTCAAGTAATAGGGTTTGTTTTCTTTAAAGGCTGTCAGTTTCTCTCTGAAGGTTTCTGTTCTTTTTTCCCGAGACCCTTAACACAGGGGAAGCTCCTTTCTTCACTTTCTAGATTGTTGTTAAACAAAAAGGAGAACTGTGTACAAAACTCATTGCTACCATAGAGGTAAAATTCCCTCCCTTTCCCAGCTCTTGAAGTTTCTCAGTGTGCCACTGGATGGCATATGTCTTCCTAAGTACTTCTTTACAATGTATGCAAGTTTATTTGTCATTTATGCTGCATTAAATTAATGCAGAGATACTGCATAAGTATAATAACTTTCAAAAATACTGATTGTACACAAATTTTTCAATGTAGTTGCAGTCTCTCAGGTCCAAATACTCTCCTACTTCATTACAGGTTGAGGTACATACAGTATCTAGAATGCAGGGAAGTGCTTTTGAGTGTGTGTATGTATTAATGAAAATCATCTGAGGCTTCTGTACAGATCAAAGAACAAGATGTTAATTTGTGTGCCCAGGGAATTGTGGCACTACAGGACACAGGTTGCACTTGGTCAGCAAGTGGTTCTCAGAAATCAGCGAGTGGTGGTGTCAGAACAAAAGTTTGGGTTTTTTTTTTACTGCTTTTCTAGAGGAGCCTGGAAATCAGGAGATAAACTGCCTTATGTGGTGGTGGTGGTGGTGTTTTTTATGTTGGATGTTTTCATCTCTGCTCAAGGAGTCTTTCAGATGATGCTCTTTTTCATTAGGAGTGCACATACACTCAAAACTAGTGCTCTCTTGATGTACAAGATTCAGATTCCCCCAAACAAATGACAGGATAGATACTGAATGAGAGCATCTATTGACCGTCCACACAGCTGCTCAGATCAAGGAGCTTTCTCTTACACTTGAATGTGCTACTTCACTGATAGTATTTAACTTAGCACTCTTTTTTTCCCCCCCGCAGATAGTATTACGAATATCAAAAATTGGACCTGCTGTAAACCAAGATGAGACATCTACATTTCAGCAGGACTCCACAGAAGAAATAACTGTCTTGCTACTGTGGAAGGAAGGTGAAAAAGAATTAATAACCAGCAATTAATGGTTGTATTTTTTTTTGGCATGTACATTGTTTGAAATTTCATATAATGCTTTGCAGTAATATTCCAGTACTTAATATTAAATTATTTTGTACAAGCAACTGGATCTTATTCTGGGTATTTTTCTGTAAGGACTTCATAAAGATGATTCTTCAGTTCATTTAAATGTTTAAAAAGCGTGACTCAAGACCAGCAGACCAAATTGTGTTAATGGAATTATTTTTGGCTTTTCTTGTGCCAAGATTTCTAGATTTCCCTACTAGTACTAGCATCTAAAGATGCTAACCTGTACTTGAGAAGTGTTAACACTGGTTATAAAGGGAACTGTGTTTCCTGGAAAGGGGTATGTGGAGCGTTCCTGCACTCTGGGCACATCAGGAGTCAACACTATGCTACCATTAAACTGCCCGAGCCCTTGGGTCTGCAGAGCTTTGGAGGTACAGGAGGACTCTGTGTTCTGCTGTAAATTGATTTCTAAACACGAATATAGATTGTCTTCACCCTACTGTAAGCTTTTTATCAGCAGCACTATCAGCATTCTAGGCACATCCACTGCCCAACTGCTGTCATCTCACTTAGTTTATAATATCACCTGTCTCAGTCACTGGTGCTTCTTTCTAGTGGCATCAGATTTGTGCAGAGGAAGTAGGTGCCTTATGTGAATAAAAGAGTGGAAAAACCCCTTTTTATGACTGAACTGTTTCAAGAGCTGGATATGGGCATTGTGGATTTTGAGGTTACTGCTCACACTATGCAGCAGGGTTAGATTCCCAGTGCTTCCAGTTCAGTGTGTGGATTGTTAATCTATAAATGTCATTCTTCAGCTGAACATTCTTCAGTGGGCTGAATGCCTCAGAAACCACTGACAAGAGCAGTTTTTTTCCAGTTGCACTCACTGCAGGTTAAAGTAATTTGGATCCTGACTACAAGCCCTGTCACTCTCACTCTTTTGTAGACATAGAGGAAGTTTTTCAATGCTTTAAAATGATAGTATGGTTTTCCAAACCTCTTGAAGTCTTAGGTTTGTTTCTTAATATTATCACTCAGAATATTCTCACCCTGGAGAATAGCTCTGTATTTCCAAAAAGAGCATGTCAAGAATATGTATAAAATCCACAACACTAATTAGTTTGACTACATTTGAAAATACCTGTGAAAGTTCAGACCCTGAGCCTTTTCCCGTTGCTCTGGGGTAGAAGGAAGTGCAGATAAACGCTGCTAGACTAGACTTGTCAACAAGTATTGTATAAACATACTATATGGCTCAAGGTGAAAAATGATTAAGTTATTTTTCCTTTAAGCATTGGTAGAATGAGTTCTGCTGATAACTCCTTGGAGTCCTCTTGGCTGTGCTTCTAATTATCAATATCCTTGCTCTTGCAAATATTAAGCCACTGCTAATTTTGCAAGAATCTAGAGCCCCGGGGAGATAGAGGGGAGCTCCTTGGTGTAGCATTGAGCAAAATAGAAAGTTATGTATGTAGTTAAGTTGTGATTATGATTGTTCAAGTGAAGGATGGTCTAGAATAAGAGAGGTGTTTATTGCAAGGTTATTCGAGGAGTCCTAGGAAAAAGCACTTATTTTGCCCAAAACCATTTTGTAGGTTTTATACAAGAAACAGACTGATACTGACAAACTGATTGGAAAGTATGAAAGAAGGAAATATGGCATGTGACTGTGGAGCTGGCAATTTTCAGGCTGCTAGAGCCAAGTTTTGTTTCTCTTGATGTGATGAGGCTGTATAGAAGGACAGAAATACCATGAACCACAATCTCCCTCGTCCTTCCCTTCAGTTACGAAAGCGCTGCTTCTTATTTCCATCTTTTGTCTGACTCTTGGAGAAAGTATAATTAATTACCCGGCCAGCTCTCTAATTTTCAGGCTGCTAGAGCCAAGTTTTGTTTTTCTTGATGTGATGAGGCTGTATAGAAGGACAGAAATACCATGAACCACAATCTCCCTCGTCCTTCCCTTCAGTTACGAAAGCGCTGCTTCTTATTTCCATCTTTTGTCTGACTCTCTTTGTCTGTATAATTAATTACCCGGCCAGCTCTCTGCCCCAGGGAAGGAAGTTTTATTCATTTTGAGGCCGCAACAATATCTACTCTTGTTCTGCTTTTCTCAAAGGGAAGGCATTTTCCCATGTTTTTGGTTTTAAGCTGAAGAATGACTACATAAAATTTCATTCAAAGTGGAAACTGGCTCTTCCCTGTTAGTGGCTAAAGGTTATGGGTGGCAGCCAGCGAAGGGGTCCTACAGAAGAGCTTGTTTGTGTGGTGACTGGGGAGAGGAATCTGCTCAGTGTCACCAGGGCTGTGCTGTCACGTCCCAGACATGATGAAGTCTCAATGGCTTGAATGGAATCGCTCGCGGTGCGTCAGCCGTGCAAGAGCCGTGATAACACTTTATCACCAGGGGTTGTGCGTTGTAGGCGCGTGTTCAATAAGTGTATTCTACGTCCATCTACAAGAGGATTTTCATTAACACTGCTCGGTTATTTTTGTTATCTGAAGGGTGCTTCTAGGAGACTTTGACATGAAGTGCTCGGAGATGGTGGAAGATGTTTGATTCTTGCACCGGAGAGAGCTGTAGGGGCTGGTTCTTGAAGGGTGAAGATGGTTCTGGTTTGGTTCCTCATCTCTAAAGGCAGAAAGGAGGGGTGTGGGGCTGGGGGCAATGCGTGCAGGGTGGACACGGACACTGAAGTTCATGTTCTGCGTGTAGGTACCAAGATTTGCCCACAGGGAGGTTTTTACAGGAAAATGAACAATTGAACTGGTATTTATCCCTCTTACTGTCCATCTCCTGCTCCCTCAATTAAGGTTTGTCAGTCCTATCAGAATCACTTGCTATTAATTTAGGAGTTTTGGAACAGGTTAATAGTTACTTTTAAAGGGATTCTGTCAGCTTGTCACATACTTGAGCTAAATCTGCAGTGCTGCACATTGTGAAACTGCTGAAAGCTGAGTGGTACCATTTTGTGTTATGTTGTATCCTGATATTTCCTGGCGTTCCCGGAGGAGTTTCTGTATGGGATCCTGTACTCAGGTGCCCAGGTCCAAGATGGGGGCTTTCACATGGGGCAGAGAGGGCTGTCTTCATATAAAGCAAGGGGGAAGAGATGCATATCAACATTAAACCCTGCTCTCTGTTATAATTATCTTCAACTTCTAGGAGATGAAAACAAAATTCCTGCAGACAGCTGGCTGCGGGGAACATTGTAAAGATGTGTTACACATGTACTAGGTTGTGCCTTTTAAAAGGAGTCTGCTTAATTTAATCTTACGTCATGTGCTGGTTTAGCTCAGTTCCATTTTCTAGGGAAAGCCGATGAGTCAGTTCTGTCAGTCCTTAATTCAACTTTCCTGGCGGTGCTGTCTCCCAGCAGCCGGGCGCTGAGACGTAACCCTCCCCAGCCTGTCCCTCTCATTTAAACTCACTAATAAAGAGTTTTGCAAAAATTTTGATTCTGTAAAATTAATAACGCTTTTTTTGTGGCTGCTTATACGTTGTTCTGCATTCGCCGTGTGTCCTAAATACTGGTTTGTAGATGTTTTTTGGCTCATTTAAACTCACTAATAAAGAGTTTTGCAAAAATTTTGATTCTGTAAAATTAATAACGCTTTTTTTGTGGCTGCTTATACGTTGTTCTGCATTCGCTGTGTGTCCTAAATACTGTTTTGTAGATGGTTTGTGGTTGCCCCGGCCCCGCCGGGTGACTAATGTCTGTCATATGACTGTGACACCGAATGGAGTCGGGCGGGCGGAACTAGCCGCGGCGAGGGGACGGCGCTGCGCGGAGCCCAGCGCTTCGGCGGCGGGGGCCAGCGGCGGCGCCCCAAGATGCCGCCCACCCTCTTCCAGAAGCTCTTCAACAAGAAGCACGGGCTGATCTCCCCGGCCAGGGACGCCCGCGACGACTGTGTCTTCAGGTAAGCGCCAGCGGGGCCGCCCCTCCTCCCCTCGCCCCAACTTCTGCGCCGAGTTCCCCGCCGCCTGCGTTGCCCCGGAGGAGGGCGGGCGGCTGCCCCCCTTCCAGCTCGGCCGCAGCCCCCTTCTCCCGCTCGGCAGCCGCCCGTGCTGCGGCGGGGCCGCCTGGCGCGGTTCCCCTCAGCCTCTCGCGTACTGCCGGCCTCGGGCTCCGTCCCCCGCCCCACCGCGGGAGCCCCCGGGGCGTTGAGGTGCCCTGGGCCCTTCAGGTGGGCGCTGGGCTGGAGACGCTTCCCCCCCGGGGCCGCCACGTTGGGGCCGCCGCGCTGCCTTCCCCCCCCCGGAGGCCGTTTCTCCTCACGGCTGGGTCCCCTCAGGCTGTCTCCCCCCTCAAGAGGCCGCCTCTCCTCACGGCTGGGTCCCTTCAGTCTGTCCCCCCCTCTCCGGGAGCCGCTTCTCCCCAAGGCTGCCTCCCCTCAGGGCTGTCTACCCCACTGGGGGTCCCTCTCCTCAGGGCCGGACCCCCTCATGGCTGTATTTCCCCCCACCACGGGGGCCAGCTCTCTTCAGGGCTGTGTCCCCTCATGCTTGTCTTCCCTTCCCCGGGGGGAGTCTCTTCTCCTCGGGGCTGGATCCCCTCACGGCGGTGTTACCCCCCACCCCGGGGGCCGTCTCTGGGGAGGGCCGGGTCGTGTCTCCCCTCAGGGCGGCCCCCTCACAGCGCGGACCCCCCCCGGGCAGCGCAGCGGAGCGGGGCTCAGCCCCAGCTCGGCCCCGTCGCCGCCTTCCTGTCGGTTTCACCCGGTCGCCATCAGCGGCGGGTTGGGGGGTCCCCCGGTCCCCCCCCGGGGATGCTGCGGGCCGGGGAAAGAGAGGGGGGAAGGCGCCATTCTGAGGCGGGCAGGCGGCCGGCCATCCCCGGGGAGCGACCTCCGAAACGTGGAGGAAGGGAAAGAGGGAGAAAACGTGAAGTTTTGGCCGCTGCCGAGAGAGGTGTAGGGTTTCTGGTGAAATTTGTCATGCTCTAAACCGCAACAAAACTGGATCCGAGCACAACCCGGAGGAAGGCGGCCCTTCTCTGCCCCCCACCTCGGCCCTGGGGTCACCAAACCCCCGGGGCTGGGTGTTGGGGAGAGTCCTCCCTCAGCCCCGGGGGCCTAGGAGCGACCC